ATAAAGATGACAAATAATTGTAGTCTCTCATTTATGACTTTTTTTTTTGTCTTTTGTATTTAATTTTTATGGAAATGTTGTATAAGCCTATGTCTAGGCTTGTTAGACTTGAAAAAGTTGTATTAGTGTTGGGTGTTTAAAGTAGATATGTAATAATGTTAGAATAACTTTTGGTTTTGTCTGTAATATACAAGACGTATCTATAAATTGGCATTCAAGCCAATGAACAAAAGCAATGTAAATTCTCTCCATTTTTGTGTTTCTAACTTCGTCTCTACTTCTCTTAACTCCATAACTCCATCATAATTCCATAATAAAAATAGTGGAAGCTCCTTTCCTTTTTTGAATTGGAAGTGTCTAAATATTCTTGACATTGATATGAAATATATAATACAATTCTTATCACTCTTGTTGAATAAAGAACCAAGCCCAAGTTGAATTTGAGCCCACCAATGGCCTGCCTTGACCTTGTGGAAGAAACATGGAAAATTACCCGTAGGTCCTGTTCGAAATATGTGTTATACTATTTAATCAACAACTTTATGAGTAGAACCAAAAGGTCTTACATTTTTGCCCTCTCTCTGTCTGTCTGTCTGTCTGTCTCTGTCTCTGTCTCTGCTCTCTCTCTCCATTTTCTCTCATTCTTTACATTTTTTCCTGCGTTTTCCTCTTCTCTTTGTCATGTTCGACGATTGTGATCACACCTTTCTTATTCTCTTTCTTTTATTTAATATTATAGTCACCGGTGATCGACGAACCACATGATTAGGTCACCCGAGCAACCAATCGACATCAACTCGTAACTTCATCCTCAGCCGACGGTAAGAAGATGAGTTAGATCTACTCAAAGCTGCATGGTAGACTTTACTCAGATCGTACATCAGATTTGAAGTAGATCTATATGAGATCCGACTAGATCTAAACCAAAAATATTACCGGAGTCAATATTCTTTCTATAATCTATTCTTTCTTCGATTCTCAATTTTTCTACTTTTTCTCGTCACACACACGCAATACTTTTTCTGTTTTAACCTGAGAAAAATGTCATAGTTCTGAATAAGTAGTTTTTAAGTTTTAGTTACAGGCGGGTGAAACTATAAAATTTTATAGTTTCAGCTTTTTTTGGTGATGAAATGAAATCATGCTTTAAAACGGCAAAATTTTGCAATTTTCATAACATGTCTTTAGAACTGTAAAATTTTACAGTTCATAACTGTTTTCCAGCTTAATAGAAGTAATGTTTTGAAAACTGTAACATTTTACAGTTTCAAATTAACTTTTTTCAGTTTGATCAATATTACAGATTATTTGATCCTAGTGTTTTGTTTGTTATATTGCTTCTTAATATAATTCTCCATATTATTCTTTTTTTCGGTTTACGGGAGCCAATATTCTGAATATTCCAGTGAGTCTCCTGATGATGTTTGACATTTCCGTGGACATTATCCGAAACACTCCGAACAACTTCTGGCGATGCCTCAAACACTCCGGCGAACTTTTCGTTTGAGTTGAATATTCCAACGAGTCTTCTGTTGATCTGACTGAGAAGTTGTCTGGATATAGCATGCTTTTTTAAAGTTGATAAAAATAATAATACAATTTTTTAGGTACAATTAAAAATAGTAGGATTAATTGGTGCAAATATTTTGTTTTGGGATTAGTGGATTTGAATTTTGTATATTGAGACTTATTGGTAAGTATCCCAAGAAATATTTAACCGAAACTACCAATCCAACCCTGGGAACAAGTCTCTTGGACAACTGTTAGTGGCCCTCAAGTTTACATGAAGATTGGATCTTCTATCTCATTCTCTTCTGTTTCTCTATTTCAAATCCCCTTTGTCACACCATTAAAGTTCAGAAAAAAACTCCTCGAAAGATAGTCTTGGCAGTGTCCATTGTCCTGTGTCAGCTTTTAGCATTAAAATTAATTTGTGACATTATCAAAAAACATCACAAAAATTGGAATTAAAAAATAAATTGGAGATCAAATTTTGATGAGAAAAGCAATGGGCTTCAAAGAATTAAAAGCATGAGTTTCGCATATAGATTATTTAAAGAATTCAGTAAATTTATATAAGATGAAAAAAATTGCATCATGAATATCTTGGATATATACTTTTCAATTCATCTTTCAACATCAATATGAAGATAAATTTCAAAAAGACATTTAAGAGAGAGAGAGAGAGAGAGAGGAGAGAGAGAGAGAAGGACGGAGAGAGAGAGAGAGTAGAGAGAGAGAGAAATAAGAAGAGATTTGCTACATGACATCAATATTATTTAATGGATTTTGAAACTTGAAACAAGTTTTACCATTACAACACAAATGAATTACATTATTGTTAAAACATTCTCTGGCCTAAATTATTGGTTAGTAAATTATTTCCAAGGAAAGAATAAATCTACTTGTCTCCTTAGTACAAATTAATGGGTTTGCATTAAAATGAGAAATGATTATATCTATCACCTCATATATATTCCACTTTCTGGAAAGCCACTTTGAGGTGAAGTTTTGGTGAAATATTTCTAACATAAATATATCTTTCTAAATAATGAACTACATAGTTGTGTTTTTAGAAAGTTGGTAAAAAGTTAATTTTTTTGACTATTTTGTACCTTTTTGGCTTTTTTGTGTAAAAAAAGGTAAAAGAGGATGATCTGACTTAAAGAAAGCCAAAAAGCTAGCGTTTTACTATGCTGCCAAAACACCCAATATCAGAAAAAAGTTATTCAAAAAGTGATCAGAGAAAAATAAAAGTGTGTAGACTGTGATCGTTTTAATTATGGCCCACATCATACATTTTATTTTCCTGAAATTTTTTAATCTCCACTTTTTTGATGTTATAAATTTTTTTATATACTAATGATACATCAACAGTCCTCTAACACCGATTAAGTCTAGCTCGAACTAGAGGCAAGTGCAGATAAGAGAGAAGTGAGGAACGAACTATGTGGCTGTACGAGCACAAAAATAATCTTCTCTGTATAATCCTGTTGAACAAGTTTTGCGCTCCTTCAAAACGTCATCGATTTACTACCTGAAAAAACACAAACGTGAGCTAGCCGGCAGGGAGGATGCCGCGAAAACCTCTCCGATGCCTAAGTCAGCGAAATAGACAATAGACACAAAAGCTCTATGTATTTGACGGGTAAGAATTCAATACCTACTCTATAGGTTTTGTCATGAGCTCTTAAGAATTTTGCCTGCACAATCCTCGTAGGACTCCTAACTTCTCCTCACCGAGTCCTCATAGGAAATCATATTTCCAAGCATAATTGCCATCCTGATAACACCTACTCCATTGCCAACCAATTGAGATGTATCCAACACTCCGTACCTCGGGCTCTGGAAGGATAATCAACCGCAGCTAACACAGCTCTGCTCTGGGAAGGGCCAGCCAGAAGCTTCGCGCAGATACTGTTATCCTCCAATGTCTCGGCACAGCGAGGTACTTATGGCGGTTAATGCTAGTACCAGAGATAGTCCTCACTATAGGAGATGCCTTGCCGAGTTATATTTACACGACCCTTTTTCCTACTAATACCCCAGTCCGTTACCAAGGCTTAGCTTTAAATAGTTGGGTAGGGGCCCCCCCCCCCATGGCGACATCTCTCAATAAGCTCGGTACGAGATGGCCCATAACCGGGCTATTACACTCACAGCTTGGCCCATTAGCTCAGCCTAATGCCTAAAAGAAAAATGGAATTTTAGCTCGGCCCAATTTTTATCACATAAATACCCCTCAATTGCCCCTTAATTCCATCCGCGCAGCATGTTTGGGATTATCCAGTCTCGACCAAGCTGTCAAAGTCCATGCCAAACCAAACCCCAAACCACTCAGCCTAACGAGTTGAAATACTCTCACTAACTGAGCTCAATTTAGCTCTGATTTCCAAAAATACGCCAAGTCGTACAGCCCGTCCTTTTTATGCTTTGACAATCGTGTTCTTCGACTGGGACACGTGGCATGCGTTATTCCCCCACTCACTGTGACAGTCATCACACGCTGCCCAAAAATTTTGAAAATTCCCGCCGTTTTGCTTTGTGTTCATAAAAACTCATATTCTTGAACAGTCCACCTCCACTATTCATCTTTCTCTCTTGCATTACCTTTTGCACTCTGAGCTCCGTATCCTCACCTCCTACGCTCAAGTCCCAATCCAAGCATCTAAATTGCCTGTCTCGCTCGTCTTAGGTTGCCGGTTGCTCTTTCTGTCGATTATGGATTTTGATTTCACGCCCTAAATCCTAAGTTCCTCAATACCTTTTTCTCTAA